CCCCCCTCTCCCTGGGCCTTGCCGCCTGCTGGCCTCCGCCGTGTCGCCTCCCCCTCCCCCTGCGTGAGCCGTCCTACACGTGCGCCTCTCCTCCTCCTCCTTGCCCTGCTCCGCCCTTTCGCCCCCTTTGTTGCTCTCTCCATGCTCACGCACATGTGCACACCCTGGCGGCCACTCCTGTCTTCACGACTCGCTGTGCGCGGGCACACATGTTGCCAGTTCCCGGCACGCCCTGTGGTACGCGCCTTCCGAGCCGTGGATCTTGGACGCCGTCGCGAAACTCCCCCTCACCCCCCCCCCCTCCATCACGCTGACTCTCATCCCCATCTCCCATCACAGAGTGGACCCGTGCGCCCGAATCTCCGCCAAAAATAGCCAGGCTCACTTGTCATTGATCTGCCTTGTATATGCACGCGAAAAGGCCGCCCTCAGTCAAAGGTCCGCTGCCCCGCCGGCCCCCTGTCCACGGTCGGCCACGGCCTTTGCCCCGCATTTAACTTGGCGCGCGCCCTGGCTGACACTTCTCCCCCCCCTTTTCTCCGCTCCCTCGCCTGCTCGTCCCCCCCCCTTTCTCTCTCTCTCTCTTTCCTCTCCCCTCTCCCGGCGCGTGGGATGCCTCTGAATACTTCCCCTCGGTTAGTCGACTCGCCGGTTCCCTGAGCCAGCCCCCCCGTCTCGCTTTTCTCCGCCACCCCCTTCGCGCACCCTATCCCCCTCCGTGCGCCGACTATGGCCCACATTCACGACCCGCGCTCGCCGCCGGTGACAGCCTCCGGAGCGCCTGCTCCCGCTGTCAACCCCGCTGTCGCCGCCGGTAACCCTGGCGGGGCTCACTACGCCGCTGCTCCCGCCCATCGCGCCCCCGCCGCCGGCCAGTCCCGTCGGTGCGCCCTCCCCTGCCCGCGTGTATTCCTCCCCCTGCCCCCCCCCCCCCCGGGGGGTCTCCCCCACTCGCTCCTGCGCCTGCCACTCACCCTTCCTGCCGTCCCTCGTCTCCCCCCTCCCTCCTCCCTTTCTCTCTCTCTCTCTCTCTTTCCCACGCGCGCACACACACGCACAGCTCCGGACAGGAAACCAGCCGCACCATGATGGTCACCACTGTCGGGGAAAAGTTCCGCGTTGGCAAGAAGATCGGCGAGGGCAGCTTCGGCATCATCCATGAGGGTACCTCGCTGTCGAACCCGGAGACCAAGGTCGCCGTGAAGTTTGTGCGTTCCGTGTGACCCTCTCTCTCTCTCTCTCTCCTGGCTCTGTCTTTCCCCCTTTCCCTTTCGGCCACCACCGGGACTGACGAATGGTGCTCACCCTCGCCTCCCCATCCTGCAGGAGTCGCGCAAGAGCGAGGCCCCGCAGCTGCGCGATGAGTACCGCGCTTACCAGATTCTCCAGGGCTCCCGTGCGTCTGCGGCTTTGTTCCCTTCCTGAATCTCCCGTCCCTTTCCTCGCCCTCTCCCCGCCCACACACATGCATCGACGCTGACTTTTCCACACGCGCGCGCTCACACATACACACACTGCCCCCGGCCCTTGCCTCTCGCAACCTGTAGCTGGCATTCCTCGTGTTTTCTACTTCGGTGTCGAGTCAAGCTTCAATGTCCTTGTCATCGAGCTGCTCGGTCCCAGCCTGGAGGACCTCTTCGAAGTGTGCAGCCGGACCTTCTCCGTCAAGACTGTCTGCATGCTGGCCAAGCAGATGGTACGCGCGCGCGCCCATCCACAGGCCGCTCTCCCATCCCCCCATGGCGTAGCCTGGCCGGCCAGCTAACCGGCTTTTGCCCCCCCCCCCCTCTCCCCCGCTCATAGCTCACCCGTGTCCGTGCCTGTCACGAGCGCGGCCTCATCTACCGGGACATCAAGCCGGACAACTTCCTGATTGGCCGGAACTCCTCCCAGGAGGGGACCACCGTGTACCTGATCGACTTTGGCATGGCCAAGTACTACCGCGACCCGCACACCGGGCAGCACATCCCCTACCGGGAAAAGAAGTCCCTCTCCGGCACCGCGCGCTACATGTGTATCAACACGCATATTGGCCGCGGTACGTACATGCCCTTTCTCGCTCGCTCGCCCTCTCTCTCCTTCCTTTCTCTTTCTCTCTCCCATGCACGGGGGAGGGGCAATGGGGGCAATCAGAACGGAGAGGCGCATCGGCTCTTACACAGGGACACGCACATATATACATATACATATATGCATGCATGCATACATCTGGACTGACACATCACACGCACACCACCCGCTGCAGAACAATCCCGCCGCGACGACCTCGAGGCATTGGGACACGTTTTTATGTACTTCCTCCGCGGTGCCCTTCCCTGGCAGGGGCTCAAGGCGCAGACCAACAAGCAGAAGTATGATAAGATCGGCGAGAAGAAGCGCGAGATCCGCGTGAACGACCTGTGCGCCGGGTACCCGGAGGAGTTCGCCAAGTATTTGGGCTACGCGCGCAATCTCAAGTTCGACGAAACCCCCGACTACGACTACCTGCTGAAGCTCTTCAACCAGGTTCTCAAGAAGGAGCATCTGGTCGACGACCAGGTGTACGATTGGCAGACGACGGCGCGCGGCGCGCCGCGGCCGGACCGCAACTCCCCCCATCCCGGGGTCCCGCCGCACCAGACCTCCTCCTCGACGGCGGTGCTGCCCGGCAGTCGCGCGCACCTCGGCGAGGACCCCAGCAGCGGGTCCAACAATGCCGCGTACCAGTCGCGCCAGGGGTCGGCCGACCCGCGGGCCGCCTCGCAGGCCGGGTCCAATGTCTACCCCGGGGCCGGGAACAAGTCCGGCTCGCCCTCCTCCAGCCCCCAGGGCAACAGCTCCTCGCCCACCGGAGAAAGCCGCCGCCCGGGCTCCAATCAGAACAGCTCCAGTCGCTGGATGAACCCCTTCAGCTGCTTCCTCCGGTGAGCGGGCGGGAGGGGCCTGCCCTTTTTCTTTTCCTTTTTGCTGTCCGCCCGCTCTCTCTCTCTCTCTCTGCACAGAGGGCGAGGGGCGCGCCAACGCGACCACTGGGGGGGCTGCAGCGCGCGGGTGGGCGACATACCCGCCCCCCTCCCCCTCGGCCCCTCTCCAAACTCCGTCTCTACATGCCAACACCTTCCCCCCTGTGTGTTCTCCTCTGCTGAGGCGGCCGCATTCTCCCCTCTGCTGCCCCCTTCGGCTCGTATTGCCTCTATCATGGGGGGGGGGGAGAAGCGCGGCGGCTCTGGTGCAGCAACAGGGCACACCCTCGGCCCTGAGAAGAACACACACACATACACACGCATGCGTGCATGCTCTCTATCTCCCTCTCTCTCTCTCTCTCTCCCTCCTCTGTGTTGGTATTCACGTGCCCACACGTCGTGTGCCCCGTTTCCCCCTTCCCCCATTTCTCCTTGTCGACATTCCTCCCCCCCTCAGTCCCCCGACTTCGTAACTCCCCCACCCCCTCCCTGCTGTCGTCCCGCCCGATCGGCCACACAAACCACACATCCCCACACATCCCCCTTCAGTCCTTCCGTCGGGCCCCGGCCTCCCATGCCGCCCCTTCCTTCCTCTCTCCCCCTCCCCCTCTTCCCCTCTCCCCCTGCCCCTTCCCCCCTCCTCCTCTTCCTCGTGCGTGGCCACCATGCCCCCACTCCTAATCTATAAATACATATACATATACTTCCCCCCGGTCCCTTGTGATCCGATGTGCGGCTGTATTCCTCTCGACATTGCCAAGGGGGAGATGCGCCACGAGGGCCGGCATATCCCACCGGTGATCTAGCCAGCGGGCCGGCAATGAGCACTCAGCAAGCCGCTGGGGGAATGCGCCTTCAGGGATGCATGGCTCGATCCCGAGGACACAGGAAGGCCACACTCGCACCCATCCACCCGTCCACCCATCCACCCACACACACACACACACACACACACGCACACACACACACACGAAGAACCATGCACACGTAAGTCCCAGACAGGGGTGCTGCGGGCATTGTCCCACCACGCCGACCATGCGCCCCTGCCGATCTTTCTTGTGAGGAGAAAAGTGGGCTGGGGGGGGGGTCGCCGGGCTCTGGGCCAGTCTCCTGCGTCTTTCCCATCAGGCCCCACATGTGCGTCCCCCCGCCCCGTCCCCATGGCGGAAGTGGGAACAACTCCCCCGGTGTCTGGGGAGAGAAATGACAGTAAAGAGGGCCGAGCCCAGCACCCGCATGCATCCCCCCCCCCACCCCAGCGAGCGAGAGAGAGAAGTATCGACAAATGAGCGTCACACACATGCAACAAATGCACTCGGCATGTCTCGCCGGCTTTTGCCCCTCTCTCTGCCGCGCACAGACGAAGGGGATCGGAAAAACACGCGACCCAGGCGGGAGTGACACGAGCACACACGGGCGCCCCTCCTCCCCCCGCCCATAACACCCTGCCAGCGCAAGCACGACAGCAGCCCCATCGGCTTCCCTCGCGCACACACACACACAGGAAACCGGAGAAAGACACAAGGAGGAAATTTTGTAAAGATTTATTACAAGGATAGGAGGGGGGTTGACAAGTGGAGGGGGGGGCCGCCCCTCCCCACACACAGGAAAGATGCGTGCAGGGAGAGGGGGAGAGAGAGGACACCGAATGTGAGCACATGGCGCGGCGGCGGCATCGGAGGAAGGGGAAGGGGGCCACTTGCCAGGGCCCGGCCGGACCACCCTGCGCTCCGCGCCGCTCCCACCACCACCGCCCCCCCCCCGCCGCTGGGCCTCGGGGGGTAGAGAGAAGGGGGGAAATCCGAGGGATCAGCCCCCATGCACATGGGGTGCGCGCGCGCGCGCGCGGGAGAGGGGGAGGAAGAGGGGGAGGGGGAGCACACGGCATCACACGCGGCGTCGTGGATCGACTACTTAGTCGACCTCCTCGACGGAGGGGCCGGAGGCGTCGCCGCCAGCGGCACCGGCGCCGGGGAAGCCACCAGGGAAGCCAGCACCACCGGGAGCGCCACCAGCGGACTGGTACAGGCGGGTCATGATGGGGTTGGTGATGGCCTCAAGCTCCTTCTGCTTGTGGATGTACTCCTCCTTGTCGGCCTCCTGGTTGTTGTCGAGCCAGGCGATGGTCTCGTCGACGGCCTTCTCGATGGAGGCAACATCCTCGGCAGAGAGCTTGCCCTTGATGTTGTCGTCGGACAGGGTGGTGCGGAAGTTGTAGGCGAAGGTCTCGAGGTCGTTCTTGGCCTGGACGCGCTCGCGGGCGATCTCGTCCTCCTTGGCGTACTTCTCGGCGTCGGCAATCATGCGCTCGATCTCCTCCTTGGACAGGCGGCCCTTGTCGTTGGTGATGGTGATCTTGTTGGAGTGGCCGGTGGACTTGTCGACGGCGGAGACGTTCAGGATACCGTTGGAGTCGATGTCGAAGGAAACCTCAATCTGGGGAACACCACGGGGGGCGGGGGGGATGTTGCCGAGCTCGAACTTGCCGAGGAGGTTGTTGTGGACGGTGTGAGAGCGCTCACCCTCGTACACCTGGATCAGGACACCGGTCTGGTTGTCGGAGTAGGTGGAGAAGACCTCGGTCTTCTTGGTGGGGATGGTGGTGTTGCGCTTGATCAGGGTGGTCATCAGGCCACCGGCGGTCTCCAGACCCAGAGACAGGGGGACAACATCGAGCAGGAGCAGGTCCTTGGTCTTCTCGGAGGTGACACCGGTCAGAATGGCGGCCTGGACGGCGGCACCATAGGCGACGGCCTCATCGGGGTTGATGGACTTGCAGGGCTCCTTGCCGCCGAAGAAGTCGGACACGAGCTTCTGGACACGGGGAATACGAGTGGAACCACCGACCAGGACGATCTCATCGACCTTGGACTTGTCCATCTTGGAGTCGGACAGGACGCGCTCAACCGGGGACAGGGTGCCACGGAAGAGGTCCGAGCAGAGCTCCTCGAAGCGGGCACGGGTGATGTTGGTGTAGAAGTCGACACCCTCGAAGAGAGAGTCAATCTCGATGGAGGCCTGGGCAGAGGCAGAGAGGGCGCGCTTGGCACGCTCGCAGGCGGTGCGCAGACGGCGCAGGGCACGGGCGTTGCCGGACAGGTCCTTCTTGTGCTTGCGGCGGAACTCATCCAGGAAGTGGGCAACCAGGCGGTTGTCGAAGTCCTCACCACCGAGGTGAGTGTCACCAGCGGTGGCCTTGACCTCGAAGATACCGTCGTCGATGGTCAGGAGGGACACATCGAAGGTACCACCACCGAGATCGAAGATCAGGACGTTCATCTCGCCCTCGCCCTTCTTGTCGAGACCGTAGGCAATGGCGGCGGCGGTGGGCTCGTTGATGATACGCAGGACGTTCAGGCCAGCGATGGCACCGGCATCCTTGGTGGCCTGGCGCTGGGCGTCGTTGAAGTAGGCGGGGACGGTGACGACGGCGTCGGTGACGGCGCGACCGAGGTAGGACTCGGCGGTCTCCTTCATCTTGACCAGAATCATGGAGGAGATCTCCTCCGGGGTGAAGGTGGTGACCTCACCGCGGAACTCGACCTGGATGATGGGCTTGGTGTCCTTGTCGATGACCTTGAAGGGCCAGTGCTTCATGTCGGACTGGACCTCCTTGTCGGAGAACTTGCGACCGATGAGGCGCTTGGCGTCGAAGACGGTGTTCTCCGGGTTCATGGCGACCTGGTTGCGGGCGGCATCACCGATGAGACGCTCGGAGTCGGTGAAGGCGACGTACGAGGCGGTGGTGCGGTTACCCTGGTCGTTGGCAATGATCTCAACACGATCGTTCTGCCAGACACCAACGCAGGAGTAGGTGGTGCCAAGATCGATACCGACAGCGGAGGAAGTCATGGTGGAGGGGGGGGAGGGAGCAGACAGGCTAGGAGTGTCAAGGGAAACAAAACTAAGCAAGGCTGGGTTGGGGCGGCCTCGGACCGGCCACCAGCCGGTGGCCGTCTTATATATATGCGCGATTCATTGCTGCGAACCGCGCCTGCGCCGGGCCCGCCTGGCCGCCCGCCGCCCCGCCCCGGCACACCCCGGCACACGCCCCCCCCCCCCCCCCCCCCCCCCCCCCCCCCCCCCCCCCCCCCCCTCCCGCCGCCGCCCCGGCACACACCCCAGCTACCCCCCACGGCCAGAAGCCGGCACTGCCGACCCGGGGGGGCGGGGGGGGGGGGCACAGCCGTCCCGGCGCACTGTACCGCCCCACCCTCTGGGCGGGGGCTCGCGCACAGGCTGACGCCGACCCGAAGGCACCCAGGCCCGAGAGAGAGAGAGAAAGAGAGAGAGAGAGAGAACGAGCGGAAGAGAGGGAGGGCGCGCCCAACACGACGGCACCGCCCCGGGGACCGCAGCACCATGGTCCGGCCGGGGTGGGGAGGCCACGCTGCCCAACAGACGCATCGGCGCCCGTGCGCGCGCGTCCCGGCACAATGACTGGCAGGGCACAGCATGTACGCGCACACACACACGAGACGCCCCAGGCCCGGGCCCGGGAAGAGGGACCGCAGGTTGGTAAGGGGCAGGCAGGTTGGCCTGCGCTCTGTGGCTGCCGCTGTCCCGCAGGCCCCCCGCGCCCCCCCGGCCCCGCCCCAGCCGCCAGGCCGGGCCGGGCCGCGCGGGCCTGGCTCCCTCCCGGAGGGGCGGGCAGGAAAGCTCTGGGTCATTCTAAAAGCGCGGAGGGTTAGATGCAGCCGCGTGAGCCTTTCGCCCGACCACATGCGCACCCCGGAGAGCCCGCGCCCCCCCTCCCCCGCGCCCTGCTCTCCGCGGCCCCCACGCGCGCCCCGAGGCTTCTGCCCCCGACAGTGGAGGGGCGCCGTCGGCGGACATGACACAGGCCGGCAGCAGGGGGCGGAGGCCCGCAGGCGCAAGTGTTGCGCAGCCAGGGCCGTGCGCCCCGGCGCTCGTTCGGCGGGGAGAGGGAGGGAGAGAGAGAGAGAGAGAGAAGCACACACATATGCCCTGGGGCCCTGGTGCACATGCTAGAATTCGCGAGAGCCTGCGAGCCCCCGACCGGCCCCTGTGCCACGGAAGTCTCTAGCAGCCTCGAGTCGCCACGAGTGCCTGCAGGGGGGAGCGCGACTTCTCCGCACCCCCCTGGCGGGGGCTCCGGGGGGGGGGGGGGGGGGGGGGGAGCGGGGGGCGCGCGAGGGCCTTGGAGAAGGCACCCGTCCGTACTAGACGGCTCGCGAAAAGCCCGGCAAAAGGGACATTATATGATTGTCTGCACCTACGGCCCCCCTCCCTCCGGCGCCCGGAGCCGGCGGCATCTTGCCGCGCCAACACGGCCAGTATGTCCATCTCTCCTGTCCCGCCTCGCCTGTCCCGCCTCTCTAGTCGCTATGGGGCCCGGAGCGGGGGGGGGGGGGCCGGGGACACACGCGCGTCGCTGCCCCACCTCGTGGCGTCGGTACCTCCCCCCGCCCGCGCGCCGCCGGACGCACCCCCATGCATGCTGGTCCCACCGCGAGCATGCCGTCTTCTCCGCGCGCACAGAGGGGGCGGAGCCAGTCGCATCATGCGGAGAAGGGCCCCGCGTCCGGCGGCGTGGGCCGGGCGGGTTCGCCCCACCCAAGACCCCCCTTCTCCCGGGAACCGGCTACCGCCGGCCATGCTGCCGGCTCCCGCTCTAAAGCGCGCACTGCCAGCGCGCCGAAGGCGGCACTTTCTCACGACAGCATGGCCTTCTCTCTACGTCCTCTCTCCAGCAGGCGGAGGGGGGGTGCACGCATGTGCGCGCACGTCGGCGTCCGTGCGCGGACAGGCGGCAGTCGCCCCGGACGGAGTGCCCGCGGAGGTGGACAGTACGAACGGCGCTCGAGCGTCTCTTCTTCGCGGGGGGGGGGGGGGGGGTGGTTTTCCCGCCGCTCGGCGGTGTGCGCCGGCACCGAGGGTGCCCCGGCCCCGTCGCCCCCCCCCCTCCCCCCCCCTGCTGCCGCGCCCGGGCCGCGGGAGACGCCCATCATGGCAACATTGACACCTCGGCATCCAAATGCACACACCAGCCGAGAGGGTCGGTCGCGCGCCTCTCCGGGGAGGGGGGCAATGGGCCGGGCACGCACGAGGCGCCGCATGCCTCGGGTCTTCACAGGCGCGCACGCCCCTACAAGTGAAGGTCGACGGACTTTCATGAGGGCACACCGCCCAGCCAAACAGCCGCCCAACGCCGCACAAACATTGGTTCCCCCCGTCCCCCCTGCAGGTCCGGGCGGAGGGGAGGAAGGTAGAGGGCCATACTCAGGGCCGCTTGCGGTCGTACTCCCCGCCTCCGCCGTCCGTTCCTCCGCCGCCGGCGACCAAGCTAGGGTTTACCAGCGGCTGCCGTCGGGCCACACCCACGAGGAGTACCCTGACCTAACCCCACCAATCGAAGGACTTCTGGCACCTTCGAATCTTCGGCTATCAGTCCTGACCAAATTCCCCGATCCGGCCGGAGGATTGTCCTGTCCCCTCTCTCGTCCCGCCTCCCCCCCCCCCCCCCCCCCCCCTCCAATGATGCCATTTTTTGATGAAACCAAGAGGCGGCGCCCGCGCGCCCTGGCCCTGCCAACCGCGGCCCCGACCGGCGCCTATTGCCCGCGTGCCTGGCCGCCGCTGGACGGTGGGCCGGGCCCCTCCCCTCCCCCCCCCGGAGAAAGGACGAATGCATCACTCTCGCCTCAAGTCGAGGAATATTCCAGAAGTCGATAGGCCGCCTGCCCAGGGGGCCAGATGCCACCGACCACCCGCGCCACGGGGCACACGCGCGGACACGGCCTTCCCATGCGAAAAATGGCCCCCAGAGCCCCCCCCCCCCCCCCGCCTCACAGCGCCAGGTGGCCCAGGGTGCCTTTCTTTTTTCTTTTTTCTTTCGCCCGTGCGCGCATCACCAAGGTGAGGTGGGCGAAAAGGGGAAGAACCAAGACCAGCAGGAGCAAATAGCAGTGCGTGCTGATGACCACCCCCGCCCCCCCCCCCCCCCTCCCGCCCCTCCACCGTCTGCCCGAGGCGGAACCAGACAGATCAATCCATTGGGACCACATGTGATTTGCGTTTCCTCCCGCATTACAATATCCCCCCGTGATCATGGGACGCCGCGCCAGTCGGCGCCGCAGGCCGATCGCCCCGGCTGCTGCTGCTGCTGCTGCTGCTGTTGCTGCTGCCGCTGCTCAGCACCTGGATGGTGTCCTGTAGATGTTGATTGATTTCCGGCAGGGACTGCGCACGAAAAAGGAGGAAGCACCCCTGGACAGTTAGCCAGCGATACACACACACACACACGCCTGCGCCCTTGTGCGCCTGGCGTCGGGTGTTTACTGCTCCTCGCCCCCCGCTGCTCCTCCCTCATCCTGTGGCTACAGATCAGGCCGAGGCCATTGCACGCACCGTTTTGAGTTCATGCAGTGTGGTCGCCGAGGACTCGGCCAATTTCAGGAGCTCACCCTCGTCTAAGGGGCGCACAAATGTCAGTAACCCATGCCAATGGCGGATCCCACTCTGCTCGGGGGCCGAGGGACACCGAGGAGGGCAAAAAAGGCCCCTCAGGAGCGAGTAGCGCGGCGGGTGGACATCAAGGCAAGAGGAGTGCAAGAGCAAGGCAACGCACTCAGCGTCGAAAAGGCAGCACGCTCGGCACCCAGGCGGCGGATGAACGCCGCACGCTTGGCCGCACATACGCGAGCCCGCGCCCTGGCCAGGCGCCTCTCGGCGTGGCCCAGTCGGCTGTGACTGGCGGCCAGCCACTGCCCCAGCAGCAGTGGACTCGCCCCACCAGGCCCCGAGGCCGCGGCCAGCGGCAATGGCAGGCCGAAGTTCCGCGCTCGACCCAAAGCCAGCTTCAAGCGCGAGTCGATGTCGCTCAGGCGCGCCGACCGCCGCGGGGCAATATCAGCCACCAGCGCGCGCCAGGTGTTCTGGGCCATGGTCAGCCGGGCCAGAGCCGACGTGTCGAACGGCTCCTCCGGCAGCAAGGCCGCGGGACCGGAGCCCGGCGCGTCGGCGGCCGCCGCTCCGGTCGACACATTCGTCGCACCGGCAGCAAGGGCACCGGCGGTGGCCGCGGCCTCGCCCTCGGCCAGGGCGGCGCCCGTCGCACGCGGCCCGACCACCGGAGCAAAGCACTCCGGCAATTGGTAGGCCCCGGCCACGGCCGAGCCGTCCGGATCCGTGGCCGATCCCTCCAGCCGGAGCATCGGCAGGGTCCCGGCACGGACGGCGCGTGCCAAGTGCCGGCTGGTGGCCGATTCCAGGAGGCGCTGGCGCCGGGCGGCTGAGGCGGTGGTGGCTGCGCCGCGACGCCCGGCTCCCGGCGGGAGCCCGGTGCCCGTGGCAGGGGCACCAGCGCCCCCGGGGCGTGCCGGATCCGCCGAGGCCTTCAGAAAGTCATCCAAATGCCCCAGGGCCGCCTGGTGGAGGGCCTCGAAAAAGCGGTCCAGGGTGGGGCGGTCACACTCGAGCGTTCGCCGTGACATTGAGGCGTCATCGGGGGGCATGCTGGATGTGCGGACAAGGGGATGTGGGTGTGGGTGTGGGTGTGGGCGTGGGTGTATGGCCGTGTGCCCGCGGAGGTGCGTCGGGAGCCGACCCGGGCCAGGATGGAGGAGGAAGAGGAGAAGGAGGAGGAAGAGGGGAAAGGGGAGGCATTTTCCTTGCTGGCCATGTCTCCGCGAAGGGCATGGGGGCAGAAAAAAAAAGCACGCCTTCCGCGGCAAAAGCGGCGGGGGAGAGACATCCCAGGCACGTTCGGGCAGATCTCGCACGATTTGGTGGGTGCGAAGGCCCCTCCGCGCGCACCGTGCGGCACTGTGAGACCAAGAGGAATGGTTCATAAAGTCGTTATATCCGAATCACGCGATATACGCTGAAGAAACAGAACCTGAGCCATGCCCCGCTCTCCTCCGGACCCCGAGGGCGCGCCCCCCCGACGTCGCTCCCGGCCCCCGCCCCCCCCCCCCCCCCCATGCGACCGGCGACGTTCGCACCAATATGCGTGCCCCCCCCCCCACACAGACCGCCCCTCCCGGGAGAGAGTGGCGGGCCCGGCGCGTGCGCGGCAGAAAAAATGCGGGAAGGACCGCGCGCGCAGCATGCGCACACGAGGGAGTGTGTCTGAACTGGCTGTGGGCCGAGGTCAAAGATGAGGGGGTGATCCCAGAGACCGTGTATGACCGAGGAGAGAGAGGCGGATTTGGTATATCATAAGGAGCGAATCCGCAGACTGAGGCGCAAGATATGGGAATACATTGCAGGGATGAAGCCTACACATACTCCTGAATCTGACTTGCAACATGTGATGCCACACGTTACAGTGTCTCCCCCAAAAGTCACGACCGGAGGAGAGGAGAGAGCAAAAAGAGTGGGATAGAATAATATGCGGAAGGGGGGTGAGGCATCGCGCGCGGCGTTTTTTTTATTTTTCTGCATGCGTGGACACACAGGCAGGGGGGAAAAAGAAGCGCCACATGCGCGAGGGAGATGCATGCACACCAAGGGGAACACAGACGCCCCATTCACACCCTACCCCGAGAGAAGGGGGAGAGAGAGAGAGAGGGGACTCCACTCCTCCCACAGGCGCGACTCTCTCCCCGACACCGACCGTTGCCGGAAGGAAGGAAGGAGAGGGAGAAGCGGGGAGGGAGGAAGGGGGGGGGGGCGCCGGCTCACACACTCAAGGAAGCAGCGTCACCATGGCACAGCACAAGGCGTGACACAGAGAGGAGCACGCGCTTAGTTGGAGCTGGGGATGATGTCGGAGTCGCCGGCGTCGGTGATGGACATGACGGAGACGCGGAAGAACTTACCGCAAGCGGTACCGAGCTCGATGTTGTTGCCGGGGAAGTGGTGGACGTTGGTCTTGGAGAGCATGGCAATGTACTCAAGCTCAGAGCGACGGAGGGGGGGGCAGTTGGAGGCGATGAGCAGGAGCTTGGCCTTACCAGTGCGCAGGGTCTTGACGGTGGACTTGTGGCCGATGGAGTACTTGCCGGACTTCATGACCAGGTTGAGCTGGGAAGTCAGGGAGTCCGCGGACTTGCTCTTCTTCTTGGAGGAGGACATGTTTACCTGCGGGGAGGGGGGAGAAGGGAGAGAGGGAGAGAGAGAGACGGAGCAATGAGGTGAGCAATGAGAGCAAGAGCAAGATGTCACGGCGTGTGCCGAGAGGGGGGAAGGATGGAGACGGGAAGGGAGAGGGAGAGAGAGGGGCGCGGCGTGTGCATGGTGCATGGTGGAAGGAGAAGAGATGCCTTCAATTATGGCTTGGATGCTTTTTCTCTCTCAACATGGACCCCGCGGCTCTCTTCGCTCGGGCAGTCTGGCCTCTCGCCCCGTCCCGGCGGCCCCCCGCCGAAAAGGGGGAGGGACGAGATGGGTGCCGAGAAAGACGCAGACAGTCGAGCGAAGAAGGGGGAGAAGAGGACGTCGGGCGTCGGTGACAGGGGTGAAGCCAGGGGGAGGCATGAGGGCGTGCGTGGCGGACGCGCAGAAGAGAGTCGCCCCCTTGAGGGACGGCTTCATCATCTGGCTCCACACCCCCCACATATGGGGAGGAGAAACCATCACACGCCACACGACGCTCTTCCGATCTAGAGGACGTCGGGCGTCGGTGACAGGGGTGAAGCCAGGGGGAGGCATGAGGGCGTGCGTGGCGGACGCGCAGAAGAGAGTCGCCCCCTTGAGGGACGGCTTCATCATCTGGCTCCACACCCCCCACATATGGGGAGGAGAAACCATCACACGCCAGGGGCGACCAACCTCCAACTCCGGGGGCCCTCTTGCTCTCTTCTCTTCCGCGTCACACAACGGCTGCGCAGCCCCTCGGCCCACGCCACCCAGGCCCCGGGACACGGGGACAGGGAGGAGCGAGCAGAGGGAGAGCGGGCACAGCCAATGCGCGAAGGGACAGAAGGTGGCAATGGACAACCGTCGTCTTCTCAGGAATGGACGTCATGCATCGGCATACACACAAGCACCGGCCAGGGGGGGGGGAGGGGGGAGGAATCAAAGAGGGGGAGAGGAAGAAGTACCTTGGTTTATATGATGATGAAAAAAAAACCACAAAACCTTGAGGCCGCACTCATGGGGCGATGCCCGCAGGGCCGAGCCTTTTATAGCACCCCCGCCCCCCAGGGGGAGGGCACCATCAAGAGGGAGCCGGGGAACACCCAACAAGCGCGCACATGGAACCAGGACAGAGGCACCAGGGCCTGCCTTCCCTGCCTGGGCACGGAGCCAACGACAAACGACATCGATTCGAGCAACCAACACATACACACACACACACACATGCGGGCGGGAGCGATATGATGCACGAGTACGAAGTTGATGGTGGCTGGGTTCCGCTCTGGGGCCCCCGACCCTGGTGTAGTCGTCCGCGCACACGCGGGCAATTCCGCCCCCCCCTTGCCCTATGTATGGGCCACCTGCGGGGCAGGGCACAAAAACTCGCAAGGGTCTCGGCCTGGTATGGCGAGCCGTTCTCTAGGTTCAGCCTCCGTGGGGGGAGGTTGTGGCGCGAGAGGGCGCACACATGGAACATATATTATTGCAGAATATCCAGCACACTTTCGCACCCCCGTTTTATGAGAAACTCCCAAGCAGAAAGTAGCACCCAGATCGCAATGGCGTTCCACGCCATCACGCCAACACGGGACATAGGAGATCCGGCTCCGCACGCTCTGGCCGGCTCCTCTTCCGTGGGTTTTCACGCGCACTGTCCTCGCCTCCTCCCCTCCTTTGGGCGGGCCACTGGTTGGCAAATACAACGTGGGGCCCCCCTCACCGGGGACTCGCGTGGGAAGACGGCCCTTGGTGGTCCGCCCGCGAACGGCTCTCCTCTCCAACAGGAGGGCGTGTGTGCATGTGCGTATGCATGTGTGTGCGTGTGCGTGTGCGTGTGCCTGTGCCTGTGTATCCTTGGATGTCGATCCCCCTCAAAAGGGGACGTGGAGAGGGCGGCCGGGAGGCAGGGGGCGCCGGGCCTTTGCCGGAGATCGATCGTGAAGGGTTACCAAGCCCGATCGCGCTCCGATCAATAGGTTTTCCAGGCTCCCTCGATCGGCCAACGGGGCTTTTGGTAGTCCCCCCCCCCCCCCCTCACCTCCGCGGCGCTTCTTCATCATTTCCGGCGCCCCCTTTTTTTTTTTTTTGGGAACCCCGCTTGTAGGCTGCGCCGCGGGCGATATTGATCCGCGACCCAGGGGCCAACGCCGCCACCATTATCTAGTTATTTGTATTGTATGTCGGGGGTTCCCCATGCATGGGGGCAAACACAACCACCAGTGCAGTTGTGACCACCACCATCAAAGGGGACCCGGAGGGGAGGAGGAGGGGAGACAAAAAAGGAGGCGCGCAGGGCACATCCCCCAGCCCGTTGATGTGTGTGTGTGTGTGTGTGTGTGTGTGCATGTGCATGTGCAGCGCCAGGGAGGGGGGGGGACGCACTTTCCTGGGGCGCGAGCACAGACACATACCTGCATACGTACATACACACACATACACACACATACACACATTGGGACGCGCGGCCCGGGCTGCGCTGGGGCTGAGGGGAAGTCCTGCATCCTTGATTTACTCAGAGAGCCACGCGCTCGGGGCGTGGCACTCGCTGACCCTTCTCCGGAGGAGAGAGGAAAAAGAGGAAGGAGAAAAAGGCAGGGAGAGGGGGATATTGGTACGCATGAGGATCAGGGAAAGGAGAGCCGGCGCAGTTTCGCCACAGGCGACGCGTGCGCGCGACCCCCCGCAAGCATCCCTTTTTCTGCTACCCTTCCCCGATAGTGAGAATTATGACCATGTGGTGTCCTCTCTCGAGGAACTTCTCAGTTGAAGTTGCGCATCTGACGGAGCTCGTCGTCATCCTGCTCATCATCCTGGTCGTCGTTGCTACCGAAGGAGCTCCGGCGGCTGGTGTGGTCGATGCCGAAGTTGCTCTCCTCGCTGTGGGAAAGGGAGGGGGGGGGGGGG